AGAATTTTTTCTTTTAATTAGAGAACCCTATCAGTCAAAAGTTTTATTCAAGTTAGGAAAAACCCACCATTGTTAGATTTAGGGATGCACTGCTATTGTTGCATGCAAAGATAATTTAAGAACTGTAAGCCCAAAATGACAAGCAGTATCCATGGCATCCCACTGGCCATCCCTTCCCACATGTGGAAGTATAGTCAGTTCCCATCCCAGGTACAGAGATGCTGGCCACCCAGTTTCACTCACTGTCTGCAAGGTTCTACTTCAGTTGTGTTGAGATTGAAAGTTTTTTTGAAGTTGTACAAGCTCACAACATTTTTCATTAAGGTCATCTAATTCAACACAACCTTTGTATGGAGGGAATCTTACTCTACTTGGAAGCTGAAAATGAGACAATACCAAAAATTTCCCACCAACTGAGCAGAAGACAATGATCACACGGACAAAAAAATTTTAAGTTGGTCACTTTGAGCAATCAATATTGCGTAAGGGTTAAGAATGTGGACCCTGTAGCTGGATGCCCTGGCTTTGCCATTTAGTTTCTATATAACCTTGAGCAAGTTATTGAACCTTTCTTAGTTTCCTCATCTCTAAAATGAGAATGATGATAATATTTATTTGAATTAATATACATGAGCTTAAAACAGTGCACAGAGGAAATATTCAGTAAATGTTAGCTATTATCATTAGATGTTGACTCTACTTTATACATAATTAATTAAAAGAGATACATAAGTCATTATGCCAAGTTAAAATGTAAATACTTCTCTTTGTGAGATAACAGTTATACTTACTTGAAAATCAGGTGGGTAACCTCCAACGTAAAACACAACATTTTCAGTGTCCATATTAAGAAGTGTGTTGTTACTTCCACTATCCATGTCATGAAACTGGGGTGCTTTGGTCCAGTGGTGGTGGCTTCTTTGGTGTAATTATGCCTTGCAAACTGATTAATTTGTTTAAATTTTGATAATGTTTATTAGAAAATTAATGAATCAAACACCAAGATACTAAAAACAAGGTTCAGGAACACATATAAATGGGAGAGTGTGACGAGTACAGTCAGGTTCACAAAGATCAGCAGTGAACCACACTTGTACCTCTGAAACTTCACCTGGTCCATAACTGCCTCTCGTGTCTCACTCTCGGTCAAGATCTGGTCCACCTGGAGTTCAGCCACTCGCTC